TTTTTTTTTTTTTTTTTTTTTTTTTGCATCATAGTTCATATCTTAAAATACTATTATGGTTCATGAACTTTGGATTTCTTCCCATTCTAGTCCCTGTACTTTCAAATCTTAAAATCTAGGCCTTATAATTTCAATAAAACTTTAAATTACTCTCTATTGTTGATTTGAAACTAATTTTTAACGAACTTATTAAAATAATGACAATATTTTTCATTCAAGAAAAATATACAATGTGGATATGTTTCCAAAAATTATAGAGGGGAGGCTAATAGAAATTACATTACTTTCTAATAAGTTAATAATAAACTATCTGTTAGGAACTAATATTAAGATTTATTAAAAATAGAAGAACTAAATTTGGACATTTGGACATGCATAAACTAAAATAAAATGAGACCCAAAGTACATGGACCAAAATGATATTTTAATCTAGGTCATATTACACATCATAACAACTTTTAAAAGGCTCTTTCCCAAGGGAAAGGTTTTTTATTTTCCCAAATTCGGATGATTTAGTTTGGTGGTGATATGTTTCTATTGTTTTGATTTTGGTCCTATGCCCCACTTTCTTAATATCTAAATTCTTTTCGGTTGACCAACTAGTCAGTCATGTTTTTTTTTTTTTTTTTGTGTGGTAGTAATGGCCTTTTACTTCTGTTTATTTGGTACTTTTTTGAATGAGTAATAAGTTAAAATATTATCCTTACACCAGGAAATATCTGATATATTGACTTTTTTCGGCAGATTCTGATGATCCGTTGAAGACAACAGATCAAACCAGACGTCTTGGCCTAATTGTATGATTCTTACTATCTACATATTTTAGTTATCGTTTAAAATAAGGCACCTATGATTATTAGAGCCTTGGATGCCATGAACAGATTTATCATTTTTCTGCAGAGTATTATTATTTAAGCGCAGCTTTGGACTTTATTTTGACAATTGCAGTTATCTGTGCGCTAAACAGATTAGATGGTCTTAATCACCGGACAAAGGCCTATATGTTCTAGCCGAGCATGTTTCTATCATTTGAATATTTGTATATTCTTGTGCATTGTGCAACCATTCGTCTCAGCTATCACTTGCACCACGTTAAACTGCTCACGCTTTCTCTTGCTCTTTTTTTTTATTATTTTTTTTATTTTAAGGGTTAGTGCATGGTTAACTATTTATTATGAAAAATTTGTTGAAAATTTTAAATTATTTTATCACGAGTAAAAAGTGAAAAATCGGCTCTTCTTAAGCGTGCATACGCAGGAGAAAATAAGTGTTCTATAAGGCGTGCTTCTTAGTTCCAAAATTGTGTTTATTTTTGGGTACAAGCCTGTCTGATCAATTTGCATGCCATTCACTCCAGGTCTGCAGGGGGACTGCCGTAATGCTTGTGTCTCCAGTTGATGGTACAGACGAGATTGCTAACCCCTTTATCCAACCGGATGGTGCATAGGTGTAATTTTTTGTTTACTTTACTTTCCCAGTTCTCTATCTGAATATCAAGTTCCGCTATTTTCTTTGTGATTCCTCTATCTCTCTCTCCCTCTCTCTATTAAAAACAATTGAGTTTGAACCCTTCTATCTAGATACGTGGAGCACTTATCCATGTGAAGTAAAATTGTGAAATTTTGTTAATTTCAGTAAACTTACCGCTTTCTTTTGAGTTTACTGTTTTGGGTTCCTTCACTTTGGATGCCTTCCAAAGTCTAAAAGAGCACATGACGCTTTGATGGCATTGCCCAATCAGCTGGTGCCTGACACTGACAAAGAACTGATGGTGTAGAAAGTGACATGGGACCCTGCCCGTTGGCCGACAAAGGATTTCTTTTGTTGATGGCCCAACTCTTTCTCTTTCGGTACATCATGGTGAGTTTATGCCAGCCGAGCCAACTATGTGAACTGAGCTGCAACTTGGTGCTGGTAAGCTTTTCTAGACGCTTCAAATGGTTCGTTCTTATTCTAAACTTAATTTTACTTTGTTTTTCCATTGGAGTCTTCTTATGTATTCCCCACGACTTGCAAAAGTGGGGAACTTCAGGCAGTTTGCACGCAACCTTCACCAGCCCCTCCCTCCCTCCTCCTGCACTGCATTCCTTGGCCTTTTAGCCCACTGGCTACGAAGCCAAAAAAAAGAGGTGTCAGTCTGGATGAGTGTTGCAAAAATAACTGTGACTGAACATATAACTTAGATAAAGCAGCGTCGATCTCTCTTATTCCCCTAGCCAAGTTCCCTTTTAGGTTTAAATTTGAGTTTGGTCTTAAAATCTTAAAAAATATTTCACTTTCGTCCCTGAATTTTTACCATGTCGGACATGAACTTTTAAAAGTAACTATTTTTAGTTCTTACATTTATTTTGATTTCAACACATTGCCCGTTCATATAAACATGTATTCAAACTATGTAAGTTCAAGATAGAGTATTAGGTAAGCACATTTTTTTTATTAGAAAGTAATAGAATGAGGACCAAGAAAGTTTAGAGGTATTGTGAAGGTCAATGGACTACCATGGTTATTTTTATTTTTTTCAATTTAGGGATTAAAAGAGGCCAAAATGGAACAAACCTTCAAACCAAAATAGGATATATACGTTTTTGTATATTCATTTTAATTTATTTGTATGGAATCATATGTAATATAGGGTGCTCTGCATGAGTGCCTTTCTATGACCGTGACAAACAGGGAAAGCAGGAGACTTTTTGGGATTAAGAATCTGTAGCAAGATAGGGATTGATTTGACTCTCTACTTTTTTCTTCCCTACAAAAACAAAAAAAGAAAAAAAAAATTAAAAATAGTTTCTTGAGTCTAAAAAGTAAATAGTAGACAGTTTCTCATAATAATTTTTTTTTTATACAACATTAATGTTCCAAGTGAAAGGGTTGTCATTTTAATTTATACCCATCATATAATATGGAATGTAAGGTATAAGAAATGTGCTTATTCGCAAACTTTCAATTCTATATCTATTAAGTTCTAATAGAACTTCGAACTATTTTATATATATATATAATATATGTTTTTTTATATTATTGAGAAATTATATATTTTTGAAGTTTCAATTTGATATTTTTTTTTAATGTCTTATATGTCTTTATATAATTATTTTTTTAAAAAAATTGATTTATTATACATGAAATTGTTTTGTGGGTAATGAAGTCACTAAATTTGAATTTTTTATGTTTAGTAAATACTAAAAAAATTTTAGAGATTTAGTCTACACAAAATTAGAATGTATAATAATAATTTATAAACAATTTAAAAGTTTAGAAACATGTAGACATACCATTGAGTCTAGAAATTTATTAGATACTTCTGAAACTTTAGATACTAAATAGACACAAACTTATAAATTAAACTGGTAATATGATTTTATTAGGGTTAATATCATATAATTTATAATATATTATATTATTGATATTAACAAAATAAAATCATATATTTTTTAATATAATTCTCCTTCAAATTTGTATACACCATTTTTATGTAAGAGAATTTTTATTAAACCAAGAAAATTAAGATAAGCGTATCGAACAAGATAGACCTCGATAATGAATAATACTCTCGATCTGCCTTTTATATATATATATATATATATATATAGAAAGAGAGAGAAGTATATTCCTTTTTGAATTTTGGTAGCACATTTAGGGCATAGCATAATTCTAGATTACTCTTTTGGCTCCATAGCATCAAGGATTTAATTGTTTTGACCAAAATTCTATCCATTTTTATTTATTTATTTATTTCAGGGAATTTAGATCAGCAAAATCCAATTATGTTGCAGCCAAAAGATGGAGAAGAAAAGTAAAAGGTTAGTCGGCAGATTAGAAAGAAATTGATTCTGTTGGCTTTGGTGTCACACTCCACTTTCAACAGATAATATTATTAACAATAATTATAAACAAATAAATAAGTTCATAAGTGTCATTTGCTTTATATTTATTACGCACCAATTATATTTATAAAATTATCCTTTTTTTCCTCAACATTTTCAACAACAAACTATATAATTCAATTATTATTATTATACTCATAGTTTACTGAATAGAAAGTTTGAATATTATGAGAATGACAAAAAAAAAAAAAAAAAAAAAAAAAAAAA